CTGAATGTGTGGGGGGGGGGAGTCAGCATAGAAATCCATTAACCTAGATCCAAGGTTTTAACTGCTTTATTTAAAAGTCAAGGCTTAAATCCTTGTGTATTCAGCTACGTTTGTGGAACTGAACTCGAGTGGTCACCTCTTTATTTCAACAGGCTTCCCCCCGTTTTACACCCGTAGGGCAAGAGAGAGCAACCTTGGCTTCCTGTTTTATTGATGCATGCATGCATCCGCTGTTGCTCTCACATGTCATCAAGTTGCCCCTGACTTATGATGACCCTACAAATGAGCTATCTCCAAAAAAGGTCCTCTCCTTAACAGCCCTGAACAGCTCTTGCAAACTCTAGGCTAGTGTTTCCCAACCTTGGCCCCCAAGATGATGATGGACTGCAACTCCCGGAAACCTTTTCATCACCAGCTGTGCTGGCCAGGGTTTCTGGGAGTTGCAGTTCAAGAACATCTGGAGACCCGAGGTTTTGAAACACTGCTCTAGACGATGACTTCTCTTGGGAAGTCAATTCATCTCATATTTGGTCGTCTTCTGTTTCTGCTGCCTTCAGTATTCTCAACCTTGGTCTTCAGTGACCCATCCTTACAGTACACTGGATGATCTCGTTCTTTCGTTACTGCCCTTCTACGTCTCACGCTCCCAATTTCTTGGCAGCAGTCTCCATTTGGATTGGGGGTTGAACCCAAGTAAACAAAGCCTTTAACCATTTCAGTTTCTTCCTTGGCAACATGAAAGTTGTGTCGTTTTTCTGTAGTCATGATTGTTGTCTTCTTGACGTTCCACTGTAGTTCACCTTTGGCACTTTCTTCTTTCGTTTCCCCTAACAGTCGTTTCGAGCCACTGCTGCTTTCTGCCAGTAAGAGGGTGTCTTCTGCATACCTTAAATTATGGGCGTTTCTTCTGCCAACCTTCACTCCTCCTTCATCTGAGGCTCATCCAACTCTCTGTATAATGTGTTCTGATTACAGATTGAACGGGTGGAGCGAGCGGCGTACAAGGGATTTTCATGAATTTCATTTTGACGGGAGGACATCCAGCATGACCCTGTGAAATTCAGCCGCAGCCCTCCTTCCCCTCCCCTTCCCCTCCCCTGCTGGGGTTTCCAGAACGGCCTCTTCTTTCTCTGCGAGAATTTTTTGCCTGTGATTTTGAGCAATATGAAGCTGTCAAGTGTAATAAAGGGCGAAAGTGATGGGGTTTTTCCGAGCCATTAGTCGAGAATTATCTGGGAAAGTTGCAAGTTGTTCTGCACCTGGTTTGCTGATTGTACACTCGGCATCTCATTTGTTTCCTTTCAGAGATTCTTATGCCCGGATCCCAGGAGCCGCTCCGCTGGTGGAGAAATGAGTACGGCTGAGCGCGAGGAGGCTCTTCAGCATGACAGCACCCGAGGCCAGCCGGAGCGGAACCCGGCAAGAGCCGCCGGACCGTGAGACTGGCTTGCAAAATGGTTCCAAAGCAGAGATGGGGAAAAAGGGGGACAGGGGGGTACCCATCAAGGACCAGGTATAATGAAGAGACGTCCCTTTTAACGAAACAGTATTTGATAGCAGGACATACGCTGTTGCAAAAAAAAAAAATACCATTTTGTAATGTTCCACTAACTCCGTGATTCTTTTTACGGAGCATTATACCAGATAATATAGATAAGACAAAGAACTACCTAGTTTTATATAAAGTCACTGCAGCCAGAATTCTTTACGCTAAGAACTGGAAGAAATCGGAGATAGCGAAACAAGAGGAACTCATTGAGAAGATACTGGAAGCGGCAGAAATGGATATTCTATCAGAAGTGTTGAAAGACCGTCCAATACAAAAGGCAACTGGACGATGGGATTTATTATACAAATGGCTGAAGTCACCAGATAGTACTTGAATAACATAGATTTAAACTAGGATGTAAATGTAAGTTTAAACCTGGAGGACCATCTAATTGCAGAAAGCGGAAAGTCGACTTGATATCGCAACATGAACAAACAGATTGGATGACAGTACATTTTGCGTTCTCCTTCCCCCTTCTTTTTCCCCCCATATTTCTCTCCACCTTTTGTACTACTTACCTTATCCCTAGTTTTTAAAAATAAAAAATAAATTAAAAAGAGAGAGAGAGGGAGAGAGGGATGTCCCTTTTAATCTTCAGTCTAAGACACTGGTTCTCAACCTTGGGTTACTCAGGTGTTTTTGGACTGCAACTCCCAGAAGCCTTCACCACCAACTGTGCTGGCTGGGGTTTCTGGGAGTTCCAGTTCAAAAACATCCGAGTAACAAAGGTTGGGAACCTAGAGTCTAAGAGAATGAGGTGGATTCTCTTCTCTGCTTTGCTGCCTTGCCCGTATGCATGTGTGAGACAGAGAAAGAGAAACACACATGCAGGTGCAGGCTGAACAACTTTATAGGTAGACTTCATCAAAAGTTGAAGTCTACCTAAATATAGGAGAGATAAAATTGGGTTTGATTGGTTTTTTTTTTTGTATCTATTTACGGCTTTGCTAGATTATTATTATGCCTATCCTGCTTTCCCACAAAATTGGCCATCAAGGGCCTTATCTGGGGTGGGGTGGGGAACATCCAGCGTTCATAGGTTGGGTTGCGTCATTCCAGGGATGAGACCAGCCCTATCTCTTGTTTTCAAAGATGGGGCGGACGTTCCATGGGTGGCCACGTTCTGGATGCTGCAAGGTAGGCTTACAAGCTCAGTCCCGCTTAAGACAAAATGGCACCGTTCTGTCAGTCCCTCAACGAGCCAATCCATTACCACCTTACGGAGTCCTCCCACTGGGGATATACAGTGGGGTCTCGACTTACGAACGGCTCGACATACGAACGTTTCAACTTACGAACCGCTCTCATAGGAATATATGGACTCGACTTACGAACTTAGATTCGAGTTATGAACTCTTTTTTTCCCTTTTTTTTAAAGCTAAGTCATCTTAGGTTAAAAGGAAAAAAGAAAAAATATCCCCCTCTAGTGGCAGAAGGCAGAATAGCAGCTTCCCATTAGTTTCTATGGACGAAAAGAGCAGATACGGATTAAATGGTTTTCAATGCATTCCTATGGGAAATGCAGATTCGACTTAAGAACTTTTCGACCTGAGAACTGCCTTCCAATACGGATTAAGTTCGTAAATCGAGACCCCACTGTAATCCCAATCTAGAATTGTCTTCTCCCAGAATGGAGGCAGGTGGTGCACCAACTCAAGTGAGATAAAGACGCAATCAGTTGCATCAACACCGGGAGCAGTCCTGTGCGTAGATGATGATGCCCCAAGCTGTAAGCGTGAACCTTGAGAATGTGTGCAGATGTTACCCCCCCAAGCACGTTTTAAAAATTCAAAAGAAGACACCACAAACACCGTGGTCATGCAGTGGTCACAGCGCACAGAAACCAGACCCATAACCAAAGGTAAATGTCTTGACAGCAATGTTCACACTCACCAAAACGATAAGGATTGAAGCGATACTGAGATGGGGTCATTTTACAAAGGCCACACCAGCAAGGTAGAAAAAAAACAGGTTGGCTGGCCAAATGAAGCAGCATTACCAGTGTATCGGGTGAAGAGAAATTTATAAAACAATTTAAATAACTGCAGAATAGATACAACCAGGGTTCTTTTGGCACGCATGATCAAGCCCGATGTTACCGATTTGTTTTGATTTTATGTTGCATGTATTAATGTGTCGGTCACTGTCTAGGACTTATGAGGGGCAGACGGTAACCAAAAATAATTCTATAAACACACAAGCAAGAATGGAAGTGACTAATTAAATTACACATATAAAATAAATACAATGGAATTGATACAGCAGAATAACATTAAAGTACAGTACATGAAGATAAATGGATTTCCAGTTATTTTCATTGCCTAGGAAAGCTTGAGAAATTTGATGCGAGTAGGCCCTGCTCTGAAGCAAAGTGATCCTCGCCTCCTACGCTGGATGGATCACAGGTCTAGAGATACCCTTCATAGTAGTTTTCTGTGAAGGGTGTAATGTATGCTAAGTAAAACCAATTTATGTACTGATAGACATTTGGGGGAATAAGGTATGTTCGAAATGGTTAGTTTTGTGAGAAAATGTTAGAAAACATTTTTCTAGACAAGATATGCCTAGAAATATATATTTGAATGTATGTCTGTAAATTTGTCATTAAAAAAAAAGAATGCTTGAATTGCAGATCAACACATGTTAAGATAAGTTGCCATGGACTGCAAATAGACACATCCCCCAACCCCTAGTTTTCACGTATCTCTGGGAAGAGGCCTGGGAAGGAAACTTCCTGGGGATTCCTGAGGAAACACAGAAAAACACATGGCTTCTAATTCCATTTTTTCCTTCCTAGATTTTGTTCTCATGGACAAGTCTTAAAAGATATCTGAATGTAGACAATGCAGGACTTTTGAGATTGACCCCATCGCTGTCAAGGAAGGCTGGAAACACGATCATTTCGGAACAGATTAAATGTGTTCTCACCACCCTGTTTGAAGGATGGCTATATTACAAGGACGTGACTCTCGTATTTCTTGGATGTCAGCTCCCAGAATTCACCAGGGTTTCCTGAGCTAAATTCTGGGGGCTTTGGCGAAGAAATTGAAGTCCGCACAGAAGCTCTGTGTTAAACACAGAAAGAACGGGGAAAGTTGGTAGGTTTTTGGAGAGGCAAAAATACAACCCCCCAGAACCAAATGGCCACAGAGACTACCAGTCCCCTAATTGCTTGCAGCTCCCATGGAGCTTAGCCTGACCCAGACACTTCCTCTTCACTCCTCACAGACAGATAATGGCTACCAGAACCTTCATTGTAAACCTGTGTCTAACCAAAACCTCTTATGAGAACTTAATTTTCTTGGCTAAATCCCTAGAATTCTGGCTGGGGGAATTCCTAATGAATTGTAGGGGTTGTAATCCACAAAATATCAAAGTCCAGTGGAACAAAATAAATAAATTTAAAAAAATGAGAATAATAATAAAAACATGACTGTACCTCGGTTCCTACCTGGGTAAAGAAGGGCTCGTAAATCTCCACCCCTTTGTCCGATCCTTGCAGCAGCACCTCCTGCCCTCGCCTCCAGCTGTACCGAACAGGCGGGTTAGAATTGGCCACACACCTGAGGAACACCGTCCTCTCATAGTAAAACTGTTCTTTTGATTCGCCGATGCTCTGGTGGACGGTCACCACCGGATCGTCCAGGTCTGGAAACACAAAGAAAGCAGGAAAGACAGAAGATCAGAGCAGCCAGAACTCATGAAGCAACAGAAGCCAAGCTGATGTTCCAGATGCTTTTTCTGCACCATCTCTCACTGGCCTCGTCTTTTTAACCCCCACTTTGTGGTTTTCTGTCGCTTCTTGAGATGGAGGTCCAGGCAGCTGTTTGCTGGACATGATTTACCAATTGCATTTGCCTTTTGTGTAAAATCATCACGAGGTGTTCCCAACGACTGAGCGCTCAGCTGGAGATTGCGAGGGGTGGTCCGGACAATTTCTCTTCCCTTTTCCGAGCAATATCAAGCCAATGATCAGCACCTGTGCATTGAAATGGCTTTATAAAGGGTAATATAAAACACAGCCCATTCTTTGAACATTTGAGCATATACCCTGTTTCCCTGAAAGTAAGACCTAACCTGAAAATAAGCCCTAGTATCATTTTTCAGGATACTCATCGAAAATAAGCCCTAGTATCATTTTTCAGGGTACTCGTCGTATAAGACCTACCCCCAGTGAAGTGAAACCCCACCTTCCAGCCTTGTGCAGCAACCAGAAGATGACACGACTGTAAAATAAAACATCCCCTGAAAATAAGCCCTAATGAGCAAAAAATTAATAGGAGACCCTGTCTTATTTTCGGGGAAACACTCTGCCCGCATTGGTCACAAGAGCGCTCTTTCCTTTTAAGCTCCTAGCATCTGGGGAAAGGGTGGCAGAGACAGTTACCCCAATTGAGCGCTGTTCTTTGTCCATTTCGGAACAAGCTTCCGGAACGTTCTACCGAAATGCAGTGAACTGATGATGACGCCGTTTAACACAGGCTGGCTCTTATCTGCCTGCAGAGCCGGAGGGTTGGGAGTTTGATTCCACACCGGGCATCTCCAGAGAGAAGAGCCAAAGCAGCGTGGGTCTCCCAGGGTGCCCCCCAGAAGAAGGGAAGGCTCATTTATGAGTAGTCTCTGACTAAGAAAATAATTTACTCGATAACGCATGATGAACACCAACTCCCTCTACATGGCCCGTTTCATCTAACGCAAGGGAAAAACATGGGGCCTTCAGGCTTTCCATTTGAGCTTCCTCCAGGAACGTGTCTGGCGGTTCACGCAGGGGACAGGGGAAAGGCCACTTGTGCATCCGGAATCGAGATCAGAAGCAAAACCAGAACAAAGGGAAAGGATGCAGATCGGCAGAAAAACTGGGAAGGGCATTTTAAAGAGTGACGCAGACACCTTGTGGAAGACAAAGACGGGCAGACACCCATTTGCCTATTTCTGGGTCTGCTGCCTGGGTGCTGCCCAAAACCCCCTCGTCTCTTCTTCTTTGGGACGCGTCCTCCCGGACCAGCCTTAGACCACACAGCTGTCCAGACAGAGGGTGGTCCTCTGGCTCTCATTCAAAGAGAGGACTTCCTAGGGAAAGAGCAGGAAGCGTGGCCACCCTGGCTGGGAATAGAAGCAGTCTCTAGCCAAGACTTCTCAGAAGTCAACAGACGCCTGGCTATTTCTCTTTCTGAGAGTCCCGTTAAAAAGAAATGAAGAAATGCCCATAGAGGATTACAGGCGGTATGGTCTGTTGCACACGTTCAACCAATTAACCTGCAGTCTCGGTATGCTGAATCCCATTTGGAGGTAATGTCAAAAGCCTCAATTTGACGCCAGTCCTGGGCCGAGTGGCCCTCCAGCCATCACAATCCCCTAGCACAGTGGTTCTTAACCTTTGTTACTCAGATGCTTTTGAACTGCAACTCCCAGAAACCCCAGTCAGGACAGCTGGTGGTGAAGGCTTCTGGGAGTTGCAGTCCAAAACTCCTGAGTAACCCAAGGTTAAGAACCAGTGCCCTAGCAGACCCCAAGACCATCCGTTGCTTCGACCACCAGAGCGTTTTCTTACATTCCAGCTTGACTGGCCCATTTCGACACAGGGTAGAGATGGGCACGAAACGGTTTGTCCCAGTTTGTCCCAGTTCATAAAGGTGGCAGCACAGGTACTGCTGCTCCCCTTCCCTTGCCTCCATCGGCCTCTCGTCAGGGCCAGCGTGCTAGGTTTCCTGCACCTCCTCAACGGATCTGCCAGTCATGAGCAAGAGCTCTGGCTTCTCGGCCCGCCCTCTCGGCTGATCTGTCACTCAGACAAAAAGGGCGGGGCCTAGAAGTCTGTGCTCCTGCCGGTGTCCGGGAGATCAACTGAGGAGGTGGGAAAAGGCAAGCAAGCAAGCGGGGCCTGGTGAGCAGCTGGATTGAGTCAGAAAATGTGGGTGGAAGGGGAGCATAAACAGCATGAATCAAGACGAAACGGTTCGTGCCCATCTCTAACCCCGATGCACCTGCTCACAACCAAGCCCCAACATTTTTATTATTTCATGTATTTATTTAAGAAACCTATATTCTAAGGTCTCAGAGCAGAGTATGACCATTAAAAACAAGATAAAACCATTCAAAGCTTGGGAAACCGTTGAACGTTTCATCATACATTGAAGGCAACACATTAAAAGGCATTAAGAGGGGAAAGTCCCCTGGAAAGCACTGAGTCATTCATTATTCTGAATATCTGAGCAGATTCTCAGAAACAAACAACAGTCAATCATTGTATCCTCCTCAACGTTTCCAGGAGCTGTTTTCTCGTGGAGTTTGAACTCAGAAAGAGACTCACTAGAGGACTCCCACATCGGGCTGCCTACGATTGCTGAAATCTTCCCGGCTACCCGGGGGTGATGAGAATCTCTACGTATCCCTCTCCATCATCCCCATGCTGGTGAAAAAAGAAACCTGTTCACACCGGGGGTGGTGGTGGCAAGGCAAAGGTAAACAGAACGGGAATGAATTGTGCTACACAACTGAGGAATTCGTCCCACCTCCCTCGCACAACCCACGGTATAAAGTGCAGACATCGGTGCCTCAAGGGAAGCACCTCCTCCGCCTTTGTTCTGGAATTGCGAAACTGGAATTGTCAAATGTTGCGGCCAACTTGCATTTGCAGCCCCTGGATGTCCCCCCCGAAATAAAACAGCATGGTTGCTCCCATGGTTGGGAAACAGGCCGCCCCCAAGAAGCCAGGTTGGCCCCCTCCCTCTCGTCCTTCCATTTTCCGGCAAAGACCTTCCTCCACAGGCAGGCTTTTAAGCAATCCGTGGGGGGTCTAGGGAGTGCTCCATTGATGGCATGTAGAGATTTTGAAATGTTTCTGAAAATGTTGTTAACCTTGATCAACGTTCAATTGTTTTTAGCACATCGTTTTTGCATAGTATTTTAACCGATTATTAGAGATGGGCACGAACTTCTGGTTCAGTGGTTCGCTCCGGTTCGTTTGGTGCTTCCATGCCCCGCCTCCTCCGGGTTGCTGCCTCTAAATGGCTGCTGATAATCAAACCAGCACGAACTGCCAAACTGGTGGTTTCTGCCCATCTCTACTTCTTATTATTGTGTGGTTTAAATTGTTGTGAGTTGTCTTAAGAGACAGGTGACCGATACATCCATCCATAAATCCATCCATACTGTGTTTTCCATGTATAAGACTATACTTTTGTCTAAAATCTTTAGACTAAAAATTGAAGGTCGTCTTATACACAGAAGTAAGCTGAGGAAAGAACAAAAATAAGAGGAGGGGAAAGGAGGGATCAAAGTGATCCTGCAGGGCTTTCATCTCTGCTTTCCCTCCACTTGATAAGGTCCACTTAGATTTCTTAATTTTGGGTTAGAAAAGTGGGGGCATCTTATACATGGGGGTGTCTTATACACGGAAAAATACGGTACATACATACATACATACATACATACATACATACAGACAGACAGACAGACAGACAGACAGACAGACAGACAGACAGACAGACAGACAGACAGAAGGAAACAAATGTGTGATTCAACCAAAATGTGTAGCCTGCATAATTAACTTGTAACCCGCCCTGATAGTGCTTGAAGCCCTATGGGGCGGGATATAAGCAGCACGCTTTGCCTTTTTTTAAAAAAAAAGATTCCCCTGCAAGCAGGCGGATTGCTCTCATGGCCGAAAAGTTGCAAACGCAAGGCAGACCGTGTTCCTGCTGACAAAGACTTGATTAGAATCTGCAACAGAGATATTCTAAGTCATGTATCTATGTGCAAACATACAACAGAAACCCATTAAGCAAGAATTGTGTATCTCTGCATGAGATAAACCGGACTGTCTCAAATGTCCTTTTTTTTTTTTTTTAATAAAGCCAGTTTGATCCCACAAAAGCATCTGAAGGCATAATATAAAAGCAAACGGTCCCAGGTTTGCTGAGAGAATCTTCTCTTAAGCCAAGGAAAAGCACTCGATGCAACTCAGCTGCTTGGTAAGCAAAGATGTAAGTTCTTTTCTGCTACAGATATTCGTACAGGACAGTGAGCCACTTTCCCAGTTGTTTCGGCTCCCGGATATGGAAAGCTTTGAATGGAAATATGATAAATAACAACCTGAAACAACCCTATCTTGATTTAAAGTTCCAGGATTTTCAAGGCACAACGGAAACTGCTAAGAAAGAGTTTTAGTCTGCGATACAGCATGTGTGAATGTAACTCTCTGGATCCTAAAACTTGCACAAAAAAGGACCCTGGTATAACACTGGACCTCTGGGCATATCACAAGAAGCCAAGCCTCTCTGGAAAAAGACACTAATTCTGGGAGAAGCTGCATCACCAGAAGACGAGGACGACCAAGTACGAGATGGACTGAGTCTCTAAAGTCTTGAGTTCACAAGAACTCAGCAGGGCTGTTAAGGAGAGGACCAGGGCTGGTATTTTGGAGAGTGTGGGTTGTCATTCACAGGATTGCCTTCAATGAGAGGTGGTTTGATGTCATGTAACAGAGTCAACCCTGGGGCAGCATCTTGCAAGCGGGCAGGGATTACAATGTAGTGAGACGAATCGTAGAAAGGAGGGGAAGAGGGGGGTTGCCTCTACAACGGGGAAGGTTGGTTTGCATTGTGTTCAGAATTCACACACTCTCCTTTGCTAAGACTCCCACTTTA